CTTTAGAACTACAAGATGGAATGAAAGTAGCAAATTGTTCCCTCATTTCCACACAAAACAATTGAGGACAGATGGCATGAATGTGCACACACATAATAGAACACACATTTTAAAAATTGCTTCAAAGTCAAAACTTGGATGCCAGGTGTGGCGGTGCATACCTTTAACCCAGCACTAAGAATACAGAGGCAGGTGGATCTCTGAGCTTGAGGCTGACCTGACCCACATAGTGAGTTCCAGAACCACCATATCTACACAGAGAGATCCTGTCTAGAGGAACAGCAGTGGTGGTCTGGCTCAGGCTGGCTGGAATGGTAGTCCTCCTGCTTGACTTTCTGGAATGCTGGAGTTACAAGAATGTGTCTCCACTGACTCGGCTTTCTAACCCTGGTGTTTATGCCTAGGTTGACCAAAGTCTAGTCTCTTATTTTTCAGTTGAGTTTCACATTTCTGGCTTTTAAAGATAATTTTTAAGATTATTTCATGTGAGTGGGTGTTTTGCCCACATTTGTATTTGTACCACATATGTACCTGATGCCTTAGGATGTCATAAGAAACATGGGATCCCCTGGGACTGGAAATGTGTTTGGTTTGCACTACCACGTGGCTGCTGGGAACCACACCCAGGTCCTCTGCCAGGGATCTCTCCCCAGCACCCATGGCTTGGCTTTTTTGTTGGTTGTTGGTTTTGCTGTTTTGAAACAGGGTTCCCTGGAGGCCACACTAACCTAGAATCTGTATTTAACTGAGATGTCTCTGACTCGAATCCATCCTCCTGCCTCCACCTTCTGAGTGCTGGCAATTGTGGCATGAGCCTAAGTGGCCAGTTGATCAGGGTGCTGAGGACAGAAGAGCCAGGCCTCCTGTGAGCTGTGTAAGCACACAGCACCCAGCTGCATCTCCAGCTGCCTTTAAAAGACTGGTTTCTCTTTTTTGTGGGTGGGGTTGGAGACAGGGTTTCTCTGTGGAGCTTTGGACCCTGTCCTGAAACTAGCTCCTGTAGACCAGGCTGGGTTCAACTCAGTGATTCCCCTGCCTGTGACTCCAGAGTGCTGAGATTAAATTGCTGGGCCACTAACTACTGCCCAATAAAGATTCCTTTCTTTTAATGCAGAGTGAACATGGATTTACTAAAGGGTAATCATGAAAACAGCACAATGGGAGGAGCTCAAAGGGAGCAACACCCTAAAATATTTTAGTTTTGAAAGGATCTCATAGTGTAGCTCTGGTTGTCTTGGACAAGTGGATGAGGCTGGTCTTGAACTGACAGAAATCCTTCTAGGCCTTCACTGCCAGGTCTGGGTGATCTTTGGTTACTCCTTTTATATAGGTTCTCTAATGGCTCAGGTTGATCTCAAAGACTCTGCTTTCAGGCTGCAGACACCCACCCACCCCCAGCCGGGATTACAGTCCCTAGTCATTTGTTGTTGTGGCTTTGTTTTATAGACACAGGGTTTCTCTGAGTTTCCCTGGGCATCAAGGACTCACTCTGTATATCAGACTGGCTTTGAAGTCAGATACAATCCTGTGTCTACCTGGGGTTAAAGGCTTGCAACACCAAGACCCAGTTTGAGATTTCCTTTGTTGATAGTTTTATCAGTTTGTCTGAACATGTGTTCACCACGTGTGTTTTGTGTGGAAACAGAAGATGCGGTCAGGTCCCCTGGAATTGGAGTTACTCATTGTTACAAGTAGCCCACCTAAAATTATCTCTCACACACAGTTTACAGCCAATTGAAAGCTTTATAGGAGCCAGCTGGGAGCACACACACTCTAGTATTCCAGCGACTTAGGTGTGGCCTGAGTACCATGCTTTTGCATCTGGCATTTTACCTACTGGCTGCAGGGAGGAGGGTGGATCTTCACAAAGGATGGAGAGGAACAGAAGCCAAGATAAGCAGTGAATGGAGGGGGTTGCAGCACAAACAGGCTAAGATAAATAACATAGGCTATCCTGAGCTTGGGTTCCTAGTATAGTCTGGGTCATTTTCGATGGGATTCTCCATCAAGAAGGTGAAATTCTAGTTAATCCTGAAATGGCCTCAGCAAGAATCAAGATGGAGGGATCTTGGCTTGCACTATATGGTGTGAGCTACCTTGTAGGTACTGGGAACTGAACCCAGGTTCTCTAGAAGAACAGCCAGGGCTCTAAGTGAATGCATTCTATCCTCAACTCCTGGTATAAGTAGACATTTCTTTTTACATGGACCCCTAGAACAATATTGGGAACAGAGTGGGAAAACAAACTACTAATCTCACCTTTTGGTCGCTGAAGCTGGTAGCTTAAAAGTTATGTCAGGTAGGACCCTCAATAAGCGGAACTTCACAAGTCCATATAAGATGTCAAATTAATTAAAAGGCAAAAAGTGGGTGGCAGCTCAAACTTGGTGGGCTGAGCTGAGGTGTGCAGTCTTCAGTTCCAGGCTAGCCTGGAGTACATAGGGAGAGTTAGTTTCTAAGTGAGATAAAAGCCTTGGGTGGAGGTATTTGCGGTGAATCCCAGATCTGTCAGGTAGACAGAAATGGTCAGTAGAAGACCAGCCTAGTTTACATAGCAAGTATCAGAGGCCAGACATGTCTCATAGGGACAACAATAAAACATATAACTAAGAAACTAAAAAGTAACCATGCAGTAGTTGTACATACCTTTATTCTCAGCATTGGGAAGCAGAGCAGATTGGTCTGAGTTGCAGACCTGCATTCTCTACAGAGACTTCTAGGACAGCCAAGGCTACACAGAAAGACCCTGTCTTGAACTGCCCCCTCCAAAGGGAAATGTAGTGCAGTTAAGGCTAACACTAGAGTCTATTTGCTCAGACGTGTGTGCTCCTACATTGCATGTAACATGCGGGTCTTCTTGGGTACAGACCTCAGACTCTCCAGCTGTTTCTAACAGTGGTGCTTGCTTATCTTTCACCATTACTGTTTAAAAGCTTTGGTTTCATTTCAGGTCTGTGCTTGGGTTGGACACTGTCCTTGTCCCAAGTTAATGTCACATTTGCAATTCTCCTGCCTCCTCCCCCCAAAACATTGGGCTATGATTCAAGGCTTTCTTTCTTTTCTTTTGGTTTGGTTTTGAGACAGTGTTTCTCTATGTAACAGTTCCGGGTGTCCTGGAACTCTTTGGAGACCAGGCTGTCCCGAATCTCATTGAGATACCCCTGCCTCTGTCACCCAAGTTCTGGGATTAAAGGTGAGCGCACCACTCCCTCACACCTCCCTTTCCAGACTCAGGTTCTTAAAAGAAATGTAACTGTACCCATTTCACAGATTGTTTCCAGCCAGGCCTCTTGAGTTCAAGAGAGAACAAGAGAGGGAAGATTTCACAGGAAACATTTCTTGTTGAGGGTTTTATGCAGCAAAGGTTCACCATAACAGGATGGAGATCCACTCTCTCCAGGTTACCCACTCCCAGGTAGAGTAGGATTCAGGGCAGCAGGGGTTGGGATTGGGTAGAATGGAAGCCACTCTTCATGTAGCTGGTCCACACTCCACCATGCTGCTGGGTGGAGCTGTGGCTGTGAGAGCAGCAGACAGAAAGTCAAATGGGAAAACCAGGTCCCCACCATCTGGTCAATGATTCTGACCCTGAGGTGATTTTTATGATTGGAGGAGCAAAGGCCTTTCTTAAGCTTTGGTCTGAAGAGTTCTCTTTCTGGATGCTTCCACAGAATCTCCTTACCTGAACCCCTCAGGATGAGCTACCAGGCGGTGCCCACTCTGGAGCAGCTGGCCATTCAAGGGCTGCTGGCAGATGAAGATTTGACCATGTTTGTTCTGGATGACCTGCCCATCTTTCTCTTTCCACCACTGTTTGAGCAGGCCTTCATTAATCGAAAAACAAAGGTTGTAAAGGCCATGGTAAAAACTTGGCCCTTCCCCTGCCTGCCTCTTGGGTCCCTGATAAAATATGTCAAAGTGGATAATTTCCAGGCTGTGCTGGATGGGATGGATTGGCTGACTAATGAGACTGTTTGGCCCAGGTGAGTGAGTCTGAGTTGGAGTTGAAGGGAAGGGTGGAATTCAAAGTAAATGTGGTGCAGGGAGGTTGAGATGTGAGATCTGTAAGATTATATCCCGTCATCTGAACCTCCTTCCTGTTTGACCCTCAGGCGGTGCAGACTACATGTGCTCAATCTGCACCAGACCGAGCATGGCTTCTGGGAAAGATGTGTAGGAACAAAGAATGGTTTCTCTCGACAGAAGAAGGAACCATTGGAGAAAGATTCCACATCAGAGGGGAAGAAGCAGCCATTGAAGGTGCTAGCTGAATATACCCTCATGTACCTCACTCTCAAGGACTACAATAGTTACTTCATGCAATGGCTCAAGCTGAGAAAATATACTGTGCCAAGCTATTTTTTTAACCTGGTTCCTAAAAAGAAAAGTATGGGGACAGAGAGCCATTGGACTTAGGACCTCTCTGAATCTTTAGCTACATAGAGTTGGTTGGAAGCCATGTGGTGTGGGTGCTGGGCCTTGTGTCCTCAGTAAGACCAGTCTGCTCTTAACACCCTTGTCTTCTTTCCAGCTGCAAAATGGTCAGTGACAGCATCTCATTATGTGACATGGAATGACTTGGAACTCCATGTAGAAACCTCTAGCCTTGAACACATAGTTTGGCTAGTTTTTGTATATAGAACATTGAAATTAAAGGAGTATGTAATCATGGTTGACTAATTATTTGTCTTTCTTTTTTGATGTTTTTGTTTGCCTAGAATAGACCCAAAGAAGTGGCAGTGCTGTTTTTACCTCTTGATATAAGTGTGAGTCATCATCCTATATCATATCCCAGTCCTTTTTAGAAAATAGGGATTACTCAGTAGTTTTTTTTTTAAAAAAAAAAAAAAACAAAATAAATATGTGTTTATTTTTAAAAAGAAAAAGAAAAGCATTGGCTAGGAACAAACCCTGGGATAAAGAAGTCACTTGTGTTCTGCCGAAGCCAGCCATAGACAACATGGACACAGCCAAAGTTAGGGCCTCGTCCAAAAGTCAGAACTGACAGCGAGTTGAGGTCTGTCTGTTAGCAAGACAACCATTAGAGCTGAAGTCAGGCTGTCTGTGCTACCACCACCACAGAGCCTTGAAGAAGTTACATGTCCTCAACACTCCACTTGTAGGCTAGCTCCTCCACAGCTTTCTTGCTGCCAAGTCTGGCAAATTGCTTCTGTTCAAAGCCATTAGATCTGTTCAAAGCCATTAGATCTGTCCACTCCATCCCAGCGGTATCCAGGCCAGATACTGAATCTATTGGGAGGAGGTGAAGGCCCACTGTAGCGAGGTCTCACTTTCTTATGCTTGTTCTCCTTAGCCTTGTTCTTCTTAATGAAGTTGGCCATCGGGTCCCCTTCTCTTTCTTGCTCTCTTAACATCCGATCCAGATCTTCATCATCGATATAGCGGGCCAGAGGCTTCTGCATCTCCTTCATTGCATCCTCAACATTCTGCTGCTGTTGCCGGCTCTGGGCAAGCCCTTTCCCCCACTGTGCATATAGCTCATCTCGCTCTGAGTCCTTCTCTGCTTTTCTCCTCTGTTCCCGGAGCTCCAGCTTCAAATTCCTCTTCCGACCTGACTTGTCTCGAAATACAGTTTCAGCGAATGTGATGTCTTGGTCCTGTTTCTTGAGCTCTTGCTGCTCCTGCTGAACATCAGTAACCAACCCAGTTTTCGCTCCGGAATACATGTGTGCAGTCTTCTTCCCAGGACGGGGACTCCTTCGAGGAGGAGAGAGATCAGAATCAGAAGATTTGGTTCTCTGTCTTCTCCGGGGTGGAGAGAGGTCAGAGTCAGAGCTCTGACGTCTCTGTCTATTCCGTGGTGGTGATAGATCTGAATCAGAATCCTGGTGTCCTGAATTTTGTTTTTGGCGTGGAGGAGAAAGATCTGAATCGGAGGCTTTTTGGCAGACACCTTTAGGATCAAGCTGCTTCTTAGCTCCAACATGAGCTTTTGCTTGCCGTTTCCGTGGAGAAAGGTCTGAGTCACGGCCATACTTGCTGTTCTTGGAGACTGATGGGTGAGAGGATCCCTGGCTCCTCTGGTGTACAGTCTTGTTACAGGATCTTTCTGTAGCTTTACTACTTTTGGTTCTGGGCAGTTCCAAATCAGGGGAGTCATGATGTGGCCTCCTGAGATGCTGTGGGTCTGAAGCATCAACAGTTCTCCTATGGTGGGCTGTGTCTGGGGAGTGATTATGGGCCCTGCTGGGGGAAGAGATACCTGAGGAACCATGGTGACCTCTCCTAGGAGATACACCTGAAAAATTATGATGAGACTTCCTGAGGGGAGAAGCATCTGAGTCATGGCGGACCCTTCTGGGAGGAGATGTGTTTGAGTCATGATGGGCTCGCCTTGGAGGAGAGGGATCCGGGGTATCATGACGGGTCCTTCTGGGAGGAGACGGATCTGGGGTATCATGACGGGCCCTCCTAGGAGGAGATGGATTTGGTGTATCATGACGGGTCCTCCTGGAAGGAGATGGATCTGGGGTGTCATGACGGGCCCTCCTAGGAGGAGATGGATCTTGGTCATCATGATGGAAATGTCCATCTTCACTGTGGTCTCCCAGAAGCTTCCATTTGGCACTGGAGCGGAAGGCCTCCATCTGCTTTACCTCTTCTGGACGTTCATCCACAAACTCAGCCACCACAGGCAAATCTCCATCTTCTTCCTCTTCTTTTTCCGGCTTAGTGGTAGAGATAGCTGCCCAGCCCACATCATCATCAACAATCTGCATTCCCTTGCCACCCGTGCCTCCCGGCTCCGGCCGTTTTTTGTGCCGCTTCCGAACAGACTCTGGACCTCCTTCGGAGCTGGCATCTGCCGCAGATAAGTAACACTTCAGATACTCAGCTTTGGAGAGCAGCGGAACTGCCGCCATGGCAGCGGCGAGGCTACTCTGTAGTTCTTGCATGGCCTGTAACTCTTTATGTAACTCAAACTCAAGAGATCCTCTTGCCTTTCTCTTCGAGATTGTAGGATTAAAAGTACATAGAACAATGCCTGGCTCAGGTCCCAGTCTTGATTTCATTTCTTCTAGTCAGAGTGCTGGCTAGTCTTCTGAAACCATCTTTTGACAGAGAACCAGGCCTGTCTCCCTGATAGGCACAGTTTTTGTTTATGTCTTTTGGTTTTTTGATATTGGGTTTCTTGTGTAGCTCTGGCTGTCTTCCTGGCTTGCCTGAAACTCACAGATCTGCCTGCATCCTCTACCTCCCAAATACTGGGATTAAAGGCTTGAGCCACCAGTGCCAGGAGCATTGGCTCAAAACAGTAATACTAGCAGAATAAGCCTAAGGCAGGAATTTTAATTGTATATTTGACCAATATAGTACTGATCACGAGTTAGCCATATAGAATCTCCTAAGTAAGCATGTGCTTCAGGGAAATGAGGAAGGCATTGTGTTTTTAAGATCACCGAATTTGTTGAGCTGCAGAGGCTCATCATAGACACAGATGCAAGCACCCTCTGGGAAAATTCACCCTTGGCCCAGAATCTGAAGGTTTAAGTGTTCCAAAGAATACGATGTCATTAATAAAGTCGCTATCACACAAGGTCTTAGTCCCCTCTAGACAGTTAGCAAGAGTGAGAGATGACAATATCAGAAACACAAAAGTTCTGCCTAAGCAGAGGGGAAGGGAAAAGGTTGAGTCCTCCAAGGAAGTACCAAACTTCTGAGCCAGTCCTGCAAAGCCAGTCCACAGACATCACCGCCCTCTTTTTTTTTTTTTTTTTTTTTTTTTTTTTCCCAGATAGGGTTTCTTTATATAGCCATGGCTATTCTGGAACTAGCTCTGTAGACCAGGCTGGCCTTGAACTCAGAGATCTGCCTGCCTCTGCCTCTCGAGTTTTGATTAATGGCATGTGTCACCACCACACGGCTGCAAATGCCCACCTCTGAACCCCTGAAAGTAGAGCTAAGTAGGGTGAGCAGTTAGCATAGGGTATTCTCACAAAGAAGAAAAGACAATGACTGGGGATGAGGGTGACTGAGGTGGAAACAGCAAGCAGAGATCAGTCCTCTGGTTTGAGAGAAGCAGCCTAGTAAATTTGAGGGGAAATGAATGCAATCTCAGTTTGAGGGAAACTTAGCCATGTGTTAAGCACAAATATATTGATTGAATAGTATATTTTCCCCCATTTAGAGACAGTGAATATTACTCATACAGAAATTATAGCCTACTATGCTATAAATATAAATATAATGCACACAAGTTATTGGACCCCCAAACACCCTTGCTTAAATGTACCGTCTTAGAAAACTGCAGTGATAGAACATTGACTATAGTATTTTTACTTTATAACAGCAGTGTAACTTATTATTTTTACCTCTGTATAAGCATTATTTTTGTTTCTTGCTTAGGATATCCACAATTCTGCTTGGGAGTTCTAACACAAACCTCTGTATGATAGGTAGAATCCATCCACAGTATAAACCACCAATAGCTAAGAAATGCTTCTTAGATTAACACCTATGTGATACTCAAATCCTAAAAACCAAAATATATGTTCTTTTAGTATTCTGATGAAATATTCACCAATTTTGGGCATATTTGGTACCCTAAATGTAGAAGGCTTGCATTACTAAAAGTATGTTCTTTGTCTACCACAACCATCCAATCCTTACTTACTTTTCAAATATGAAGGTATTGTGTATTTATCATAATGGGAGAGAATATTGCATCAGATAAGAAAGATATTTTTAAATGAAAACACACAGAATCAAAATTTGTTAGATACAAATAAAGTACTATTTATCAGGAAATGTAGGCCACCAAATCGTTAAATTAGAGGGGTGGGTTAAATAACTGACATCAGCTCAAGTATTTTGAGCAAAGAGCAGAGCACATGAATTTAGAAGCATACTGGAGAAAGGACCTATGGAGGACACACTAACTATGAGAGTGAAAAAAATCAGTGAACCCAAAACTGGCTTGTGTATCTCCTAAAATAAAAGACCCAGATAACTGGGGTTCAAGCTTTAAGCTGAAGATCAGAGATTAAAGCACCCAAGTCAGTAGATCTTACCACTACCCAGCTGAAATGGCAATCCTGTCTCCACAAATCTTCAGAGGCAAGGAGTTCTGAATTCCTGTCTCCTTTTATTCCTTTCTACACCCAGTTGTATCACTCATGTTCCCACATCCCTAGTGCTAGGATTAAAGGCATGTAATCCCAAGAGCTAGGATTAAAGGTGTGAGCTCTGTCTTGTGTAGGTCAGGGTGGCTTTGAACTCAGAGAGATCCATGTGCCTGTCTCCCGAGTCCTGGGATTAAAGGTGTGTACCACCATTGCCTAGTTTCTATAGTTAACTAGTGTGGTTGACCCAGCATCCAGAACAGCTTCAAGGCTCCTGGCTGAGATGATCCAGTCTCATGGACTACTCCAACCAAGACTAAACTGTTATCCTGATTATCTCAAGGTTCCCCAAATTGTGCCAGCACCCAAGACAACAGGAAACTGTCTAGAGAAAACCATATCCACATTCCCAAAAGATGGGTTATGGATGTTTGTCATTATTTAAAGGGGTCTATTGCAAGTTGTTGGTCATAGTCAGGTAAAAAGCTAAATGAAAGAATTAAATTAAAATATCTCTTTTTAAAGGGAAAAAGGGGGCATATGGTATAGGAATGATAGGAACAGGGTAGATTATTGAATCTATTTTAATCCATAAAAGGAAGTAGTAATTGTAGCACCCACACTCTAATCTGATCTAATGGGGTGAAGGCCTAGAGATTAAATAAAAGACATCAGGTCATTCATGCAGCAGGAATGCTGGAATGCGAATGCTGTTTGTTGAGGGCAAGGAGTGGGCTCATATACTGACTTACAGCACAGTGGAAAATAATCAAGGGTCAAGCAAGCAAGTTCTCGAGCTTAGTTCCTCCCCATCTCAGGTTTGCTTAAGGTGCCTCGGGGGTCCATGTAGGGCCCTACAATTAAAGTCAAAGTATTTTACATTGGAATGGATTTTGGTTTACTGACACAAATTTAAGGTCATTTTCATTATACTGTAGATATGTTTCTACTTTTGTTGGAGGTATTGTGTATATGCAACTCATTTAAAGATGTAATATAAAAATACAGGTTAGTAGTTTCTCACCTGTAATAAACTTATAGTCATATTAGGTATTTTCAAAGTTAAACAGATTCATTTAGATAGATGGCCTTCAATCACTTCAAAGACTTACAGAATAAGGCATTTAAAATGTTTTAATAACATAAGGCTTTTCTTGACAGTGAGACACATCTGCTCCTGTCAGCATCAACTTACTTCAGAGATGATGGGCATTGAAGAAACTCCATATGGAGTTTACTTTCTTTGTGGCAAAAGCTAGTAATTTGGAGAAAACAAAACAAAACAACAAAATTCTCTGGCCTCAATTGCTGACAGTATACTGTTCAAACTTGACCAGCAGAACATAAAAGAAAGCAAGTGTCAGATTTCGCATTGACAAGGTAGGATAGTCCTTCAAAATACCCTGCTTCTTAAAAAAAAATAAAATCCAATATGCTAGGCCTGTAGGCCAAAGATGGATGCTCCAACATTGCAGAAGAATGTTGGATGACTGTCCAGGCAGACAGATGTTCATGTTATTAGGTAGCATTATACCCTTCTGGGGTCTTTGATGGAGTTAGAGACTAAATAGCTAGACTTAAAAGTGTTCCTTAGTATAAAACTTTAATCTTACAAAAGAAGGATAAATAATAAAATATTTTCTCTTATATGGTGAAGTAAAAATGGACTGGATATTGTCACTGTAATTCTTATTTGCTGTTTTTATTGTATATAACTTTTCTATGTTAAAACCTTCCTTTTTAATTAGACAAACAGGGGGAAATGCTGTGGAACAATCTCTGTACTCTGTAAATATGTATTACTTTCGTTGGCTAATAAAGAGCTGACTGGTCAATAGCTGGGCAAGAAAAGTTTGGATAGGAGAGCCAGGCTAGGAGGACACTGGGAAGAAGAAAGGAAGAGTCTCAGCAGTTCCAAAGGGATGTGGAGAGAAGCAAGATAAACATGTCATGCTGAAAGAAGGTACTACCTCATGGTGGATGGTAGATGAGACATATGGGTTAATTTAAGACGTAAGAGCCAGTTAGTAACAAGCCTAAGCTATGGCTGAGCATTTATAATTAATGTTAAGACTCTGTGTGGTTATTTGGGAGCAGCTGGCAGGACAGAAGCTTCTCCCTGTAGAGGAAAAGCTTATAGGTCGCTGTCAAGTCAGGGTAGGGCCTGGAGGGAGTAACTGAAGCAGACAATATGAAGGGATGCTGATCACTTGCTTGCTTTCTGGATTTTGCTCACCTTGCTTTCTTATGCAACTCAGGACCACCTACCCAGGGTGGCAGTGTTGACAGTGGACTGGACCCTCACACATCACTAATAATCAAGAAAGCACCCCACAAGCCAGCCTATAGGCCAATCTGATGGTGACTCTGGATTGTGTCAAAAACAAACAAACAAACAAACAAACACAACAACAAAACAAGCAACAACAAAAACCCAACCAGGATGGTGTTATTGGTGGTCATACATTGGTTTCCTACCACTACCACTGTTCCCTGCCTTCTGCCTGGGAATCAGAAAGACTGGCTGCAGATGCTGGCTGTGAAGCTGGGAAGCCTCCGGATATCCTCAGAAAGCCTCCTTTCTGCCGCATGGACTGATCCCCTTCTTCATAGACCTCAGCATGCTGCCTGTCTCTGGTGCCAGGGCCTGAAAGAACCCCTGCTATGCTGTCATTTTATGTCTATCCATGCTATTAATAGTTTTATAATAAACTTCTTACTCTGCAGTAATCCATCTCAGCATCCTTTCACCTCAAGCTTTTAATAAGGACCATTGGATGAAAGCTGTAAAGGGATATGGA